GCAAGACTTTGGGCATGTTTTTTATGAGAGTATAACATTATAACATGATATAAAACTCAAGAAAGTGTATTTTACATGATATTGCCCCTTTAAACTACGACCATCTTATCTTGAAATGTGATGCATGTGAAGCCTTTTATGGTCAAATCTTAACGATATTGTTGTGCACAATTGCTTTTGATCATGAGATTACGTACAATTTATTACAGCCTAATAAATGTATTGGGGTGACTCTTAGCTACTTCCACATTAAATTGGACCTCAATATCTGTAAAACTGACAAAGTTTTAGCCATTTTGTGTTTGCTAAGGTTCATGAGCCGTGACAAATATGATGACTTCTAAAGTCAGTCAGTAGATACTAACAATTACTTCTTAGAGCTTAAAACTGACTTAAGAGATATTTATCTTAGCAGTGGCAGCCACCTTAAATTTGTAGTAGTACATCCAATAATAACTGTCTGGGAGTTTTATTCAAATATGTCCACTAGATTACAAGATATTTTGCAGACAGACAGACAAAATGAGGCAATGACATGATCCCCTGCCTTTCAGTGATGAGCAATAGAAATAAAGAAAGCATGGTACCTGCGTGGGTTTTGCTCGTTGCCCTTGTCTCCTCTGTGCTTGATCATCTTGTAATGGCCAATGGCCACTGGGGGGCGCACAATCTTCATGCCCGACAACCGCACTCTAGATTGGCAGCAWTCAGCAGTAGTGAGAAGAAACAGGAAATTCCCAGTCATGCAATTCCAAGGAAAAAGTAAATAAAAAGTCATCTAATATAATAAGCCTGATCTCTAAGTAAAAACAGGTAATTTTTGCTACATCTACAAAGGAAACTATTCAGTTTAAGGGTATGTAAGGAATACTTTGACAAAGAAATCAGTCAAATAGCCAACAACATAAAAAYTGAGCTTTCTGGGAATAAAAGCAGTTTTCTATAGGTAACGAAATCTCAGTGTTTTTCCATCTCTTGCTCTGTTCGCTTTCTGTTATCTAAGTCAATACATGATGCAACTGAAGAAGTAAATACTGTATGTTGGATTTGTTTAAATTGGCTTCTAAGTGCTTCAAAGAATAAGCTAAGAAAAATGTTTCTATTTTTTTTTTTTTTTTGTAATGATTGTATTCAGTGTCAGTCACAATATACTGACCAAAACTGAACAGGACAGGTGAGAGAAGGTACCTTAGCCCAGAAATGGAAAGAGTCTGAGTACTGCAAGCCWTCCAATCCAAATCTGCAAGCTAATACATGCAAACATACCCACTGAGCCCACTCCAACAGATATAAAGTAAAGCAGTGGCAAATGGGGAGAGACGTGAAGATGAAAAATGTTAGAACACACACAAAAAAAGGAAAATATAATGAAAATATGTGGTAATGAGATTGTGAAAAAGTTAGAAAAGGTGACGAATGAGTACGGCAAAAAAAAGTTAAAAAGCGGAGGAAGACAGCGGCTGAAACTGATCGACTCATTTCTCATTAAATATCTGCACACATCTCACATTTCCACCTGCAGCGTTTGAACCGGTCATTCWTCCAGCTTTACCTGGCAGCAATGTCGTCATCCTCTCCGCCCCAGCCCCAGTACTGGTTAGGAAAGCCGTTCATCTTCATGTACTGGTCTGGAGTCACTGCAGAAACCCCTCCAAAATACTGAGGGTACGGCAGCCTGAAAGAGACACACATGWGGGCGTCTTAAACATGTTGTCTCAGGGACACTCACTTCCACTGAAACCCCGTGCACGTGCTCGTTTACCTATATCTGAACTTGTCCATGGCCACAGACAGGTGTGTGGGGAACTGCTTGTGGCAGGTGTAGGTGTTGTGATCGTTCTCAGGCAGCAGGTCAACATCATGAAGGAAAATACAGCTCCAGTCTTCATCTCTGAGGGCCTCCCGCACGCCCACATTCAGCAGTTTGGCTCGGTTGAAGGTACCATTTCCCCACTGAAGCCAGAGACGTCATGGTTACTCATCAAAAGGCACGTGTATTAACTAAAAATATTTATTGTAAGTGATTAGGATTATTAYTGTTTAAGCGCCTTGTTCCTTCTTATTATGCACCCACCCATCCCCAATATGCAACAAATACCTCAAACAGTGTAATTTGTACATTTAACCAGTGCCATTTTTGTATAAACTTATTCCATTTTTTCCTATTTATTTTTGCATGAGCCTTTTTTTTTTATTCCTCACACTGAGTCGATTGAACCAGCAGTTTCCTTGTTTCTTGGAAAAGTGACAATGACAATAAAGGCCTTACCATAAATGCACATCTCTGTAAAACAAGCATTTGTTTGAGGCCACAAAGATATGAAAGAAAACCTTCTGTTAACAGTTTAGATTTATAAACCCAGCTCACAGTCAAGTTATCCAGCCTCAGCCTCCCTCTTCACCCAACTTCAAATCAAGCTGCATTCGCTCCATCTTGAAATATATTTATTCTATATTTATCTGACAATTGTACTTAGAATTGCATTCCCCTTACTTTTTACCTWAACATGGCTGTGGGCCTATTCTCTTTAAATAAAACATATCTATGGAAATATACTCATCCTGGATCAGCGTTTTTCTGTTTTAGTTCACTGTTCATGAGGGGGCCTATCATAGTTACAGTACAAATCACTTTTCTATTCACAGGCAAAGAAACATAGCCTAATATAAATATAAATACAAATAAAGTGGGCATAAAGTTAACTAACTTTTTTTCTTTGTAGCCACAGTATAAGAAAGGTAGTGTAGCCTAACTTTTAGGGAAAAAAATCACTGGCTTAAACTAAATTGTAAAAATAATCACCCTTTTTTACCTATGGTCTAGCCCAACTAAATATGATCATCTATTGTCTTTATTAGTAGCTCAAACAGTGGCGGATCTAGGATTTTTCTGAGTAAGTGGCCATCAAGAGGCCACAATGTTCATAGAAAGGCCAAGTATTTGTTCAACATCCTTGCACATAAATCCTCAGTTTTGGTAAGTTGTATAAAGCGGTCACATATATTCCAACAATTGTAATGTAACGTAATGTTATCAAAAAAGCTTAAATTCTCCTCATCAATTTTACATGCATTTTTACAGTACATGGATAAAATATTGAGAAAATGTGAGAAAATGAAGCCATTCTTTGCCAGTTGAAAGATAATTTTTGCAATTTTTTTTCAAGTCTGTTGAAGAAGAGAAGAAGACTGCTGTCAGACTGATTCACGCTGGACTTTACTGTTTGACTCATTAGCGCCTCTAGTGTTGGGCATGGAACTGCAGCCACCAACATTGCTCTCAGTTAAAGGACAGATGAGTGACAGGACAGGGGCACTTCAGGGGGCCAATCAGATTTCAGCAGGGGCCAAAGCCCCTATGGCCCCGCCACTGTGGCCCCGCCCCTGATAAAATATCTGTTAAAACCCCAGTAGGGGGCTAGTAGGTCTACTGCTGTAATGTTAACCAGTTGTACAGTCCAGAGACAAACATGAAGTATTACRGATGGCTGAAACTAAACCCACCGTCATTCATGAAAAGCACAATATGCCTCCATAGATAAATGTATTTGATAAAGTGAATTTATGTACATCTATGATCATCTGATCAGCATATCTGATATTACTTAAAATTTATGAAACTCACTAACTTTGGCAACATTAGCAACATTTATTCAAAATGAGACCAGCAACATTGTTGCAGAATAGTTTTTATATTTTTTTTGTTTTTGTTTTTAGTTGGTTTTATTCGCTGATAGGCACATTACGTTATTTTGAAGTACCCAGAACAACATGAACACTACACCACAGGCTGACCTGCTGTACAATGTAGATGCTGTAGTGGATCTGTTGTCTCTGCAGGAAGGGGTGGAGGTGGTAAAGAAGGGCACGCAGATGGCTTAGTCGATTACGATACGGTACCACTATTGCTGTGTGGTGATGGGGCTCACAGTCTGGAGGCCGGTAGCGCCCGCCGGGCAACACTAACGGGTTTCTCTGTTTGATCTCGTCCAAAGACAGAGGAGAGAAAAGGTGGACAGACACAGGTCCGACTGAAAAGGAAAGGAAACCAACGGCTTAGACGTACAGTAAATAACGACTGGCAACAATCACTTCAGAATACATTTAAATTATCCATTTTCTTTTCCTGATACTCCTTTTTGAGTCTTGTGGAGCTGGTGCCTATCTCCAGCAGTCACAGTGCAAGAGGCAGGTCTGAACAGGTCTATCACAGGGCCACAGAGAGACAAACCACTCAAACAACCATTCACACTCGCCCACAACGAGTTACAATTTAGTGTTACCAATGAAGCTAACATGCGGGATTTGGTCTGTGGGAAGAACACCCCCAACAAACACACGTTGTTTTCTCTCTCACCCAACATGGGGGACGGGATCGGGCAGTCTCTCAGCGGTTGTCCTGAAGCTGTAAGTCCGGCGCTCGAGTTCCGAGGCGGAGGAGGTGGTGCTCCTAGATGACTGAGGTTGGTGTAGACATCGTGAGGTCGAGAATAATCGAACTCGGGCTCTGTGGTGTGCACCAGGACAGACACCAGGCCTCTGAAGCCCCCCAGGGAAAAATAGAGCACAAAGGCAAATTGGAAGCCTATGAGCAGGGCGAGCGTGCACGGGGAGTCCAGGGAGCGCCCACAGCAAGCCATCATTGAGAAGAAGACGGTAGGAACACGTTGACACTCCAGGTGTGGAAAGTGGGGGGAAAAAAGGTGGGAGAAAAAGCACCAGGGGGTGAGGAGAAGGGGAAAGGGTGGGTTAGAGGAGGAGAGCCAGAGGGAGAGGAAGGGGAGATGATAGCCTGTCGTTCAGGATCAGGTGTGTAGGAGGTGGGCATCCATCTGCTGTAATAGGTAGTAGAGGTAAAGCTCAGCCATCCCGTTCTGATCACCGAAGACACTGAGAGAAAATATAAAAATACTGCCAGTTAATTATTTATTCTTTRGCTTATTATTTTCACATAGATTTATAGTATTCCTCGAGCATTACAGCACAGCCTGTTTTATTATTGTTACATAAACCATAATGTATCTCCTGACAACAGCTACCCTAATTATTGTGACTTTATTTTTAGCTCTTTAAGAAATAAACCAGCATAACCAAYACCCTGACAAAAAWYAAMTAAATAAAAAAATAAGAAACTGAAATACTCAAGTATGTGTTGGACTGAGTGGTACAGAGCCCGCGAGGGGAAATGGGGGRATTTTTTTTCTTKTGCGTTACCTCGCAATACCTTTTGCGTTCCCTCGCAAAAGTCGTTAAACACTGTTGTGCCTCCCAGTTTATTAACAAACACATGTTCACCATTAGCGAGTTAGCCTACTGCTTTAATTCAGCTTCAGAATGAATATATTACTCAGCCACGCATGGAAGTATGTCATATGCCGATATTTTAACACAGTACAGCCATGCAACATCAATGTCAATTTCACGAACTTGTGGC